GTGGCTCAGCAGTTGAGCATCGACCTATGAACCAGGAGGTCGGGGTTTGATGCCCGGTCAGGGCACATGCCCGGGTTGTGGGCTCCATCCCCAGTAGGGGGCATGCAGGAGGCGGCCGATCAATGACTTTCTCACCATTGATGTTTCTATCTCTCTCTCTCCCTCTCCCTTCCTCTCTCTGAAATCAATAAAGATATATTAAAAAAAAAAAAAGAGGTTGGGAGTCTTGTGAAAAGAGGTTATTTGTTTTTATGTTTATTTCTATTGCTTTGTTTCAGTAGACACAGTATGCATTGTTCTGTTGAGATTTCTAAAAAATACAAATAAAGTGGGGGAAAGCATCCGTTCACTGAATATTACGCCGTGAGCAAAAGGTTATAACCGTTTTTAACAGACGTCAGCCAGTTGGCTGCTAGCAGATTTTGAAAGTGGCACCAGCCGGCAGAGCATCCCTTTAAGATTCCGAGTTATGTTATAGGTGATACGCTAAAGCTCTTTGTTCTGTTTCCATTTAGGAATCGTTAAGAGCCATCAGATACGAGATATCTCCGGATAAAGAATATGCTCTTTTCTCATATAACGTGGAACCGGTGAGTACTACGCTTTTCTGTCTGTAAAAGAATTGTTTGTCTAGTCTGATACCTTACGAAGTATTTGTCCTTGAATCTCCATTCTCAGTGATCTTTGAATCCTGAAATAGTGGGTCCTGGGATAATCTCTTTTTATGCCACACTGCCACCTAGAGGAAAGGTATAAAAATTCCTTCGACAGAAAAAAAAATCACTCCTTTTGGGATCTATTTTATAGGATTCACTTGGAGAGATGGTGAGTTGTGTTTTTATAGAGATTTACTTTAACCTGTTGTGCAAATTTTTTTTTCATTTTCTCAAATACATCATCAATTTTATCCCAAGAACAAAAAACAACTGGCAGTTTCTCCCTAAACTAAAACAGTCCAACTATCACTTTCATTATATATAATCCATGTTTTGAGCGCTTTGTATATGAGCCTCCCATATCAGTGGCAGCTTAAAACTGGCTCTTTTCTTCTTTTTTTTTTTTGTTTAACATGGTCATATTTTAAAAATTAATTTTGGCTCTTTAATTTTAAATGAGCCAGAAGGTGAGATATTTTTTTGTATCCATGAAACAGATGTTCAGCTTGTAAGAGATCAGCAAGTTTAGAAATATGCGTTCGTGGGACTTTGCTTCCTCGCAAATAAAATGCAGAATCCCACTGCCTTTATCTTCCTTCGGAGACCCTTCTAATTAGGGTTCCTGCAGCACCCAAGAGACAGACAGGCGCCTGCCTGTGATTCAGGTCTGGACAGCCCCTGGGTGAGCCCGAGAGCGTCTTCCCTGGGCACAGGGTGGGTGAGCTTGTTGAGTTACAGTCCTTTGGGGAACCTGGGGATTGGTTGGCATGGAGATGTGAGTCTAGTTCTAGGACTTTTAGAAATTCCTTTAGAAGCTATTTGACACCTGGGTTCTTTATTAGAGATTTCGCTTTCATTCCTCTCTNTAGAAGCTGTTGGACACCTGGATTCTTTATGAGAGATTTCGCTTTCATTCCTCTCCGTGTAGGTAGGTCTTTGTCTTTAGTTTTCCATTTTCTGGGTTGTTTTTAATGTTTGTTCTATAAAAGTTTTTATTTGCTTCAATCAAATTATTTGGGGCATTGGGTCACCTCTGTCTGTTTGACTGGGGGGGAGTTAGTGAAGTTGACAGACTAAAAGGCGACCTGTAGTCTTGGGATTCTGCAGGTCCTACCCCAGCCCCCGTGCTCACCTCTCTGAGCTTCAAGTACACGGACCCGGAGAGCATGGACGATAGAGAATTTCAGCTCCTTTCATCACCCTTGGAAACTACCCAAAAATGTGACATCCACACCTGAATTTTTTTTAAAAACTCAGCAGATGCCCCGGCCAGTGTGGTTCAGTGGTTGGAGCGTCAGCCTGCACACCGAGGGGTCACAGGTTCAACTCCCGGTCAAGGGCACATACCCGGGTTGCAGGTTCGATCCCCGGCCCCGGTTGGGGAGGCATTCAGGAGGCCACCGATCGATGTGACTCACATCGATGTTTCTCTCCCTTTCCCCCTCCCTCCTTCCCTTCCATTCTCTCTTAAAAAAAAAAAAAAATCAGCAGGAAAAATATCCTCAGGTGAGGATTACCAAAAATAAGAAAGAATATTCAGATATTTGAAGGACTTTCACAGGGATGCAGGATGGGTTTGTTCTCGATTGCCTGGTGGCAGGGGGACCTGAGTGGGAAGAGCAGAGACAGACGGCTGTCAGGTCGTCTCACTAGAGAACCTTCTCACACAGGGAGGATCCCAGCAGTGGGACGAACGACCTGGTCGGTAATGAGCGTCCTGCTCCCAGAAGCATTCAAAACCACGTTGTATATTTATTCTCCAAAGTCCTGTCTGAGAGAATCTCACTCCTGCTCCTTCGGAAGGCGGGGACCTACCTGTGATTCTGTGGCCTGTGCCTGGTAGAATTCGCCGCCAGCCTCCCTTCTCTTCCCACTGTGTCTTTAGAAAGCGTCCCCTGGGATCTCATTACAGCCGATAACCGTTTGGGGAAAGAATATGTTGCTAAAAGCGCATCTTTTCCACCTAGAACACCGACTGGAAGTGGGAGCCTTTCCATTCGACAGCATTCTTGAAATTCCATCGCACGCACAAACATACAGAATTATGTAAAAAAAAACCAAGAGATCTACTTGTAAAATATCTTATTACTATTCCGTGTTTATTCTAGAAACGAGGGATCCTGCTGGTTAGCACACCATTTTTGTTTTTGTTTTTTCAATATGTCTTTATTGATGTCAGAGAGAGGAAGGGAGAGGGGGAGAGAGAGAGAAACATCAATGATGAGAGTCATGGATCGGCCGCCTCCTGCTCGCCCCCTGCTGGGGATCGAGGAGCCTGCAACCTGGGCCTGGGCCCTGACCGGGAATCGAACCCGGATCACCTGGATCCCAGGTCGATGCTCAACCCCTGATCCACAGCAGCCGGGCAGTGTACCGTTTTTCAACCAAACCCAATGTTATTAAAACTGGAACTTGGCTCACATCCTTGGACATCCACAAATTAGCTGCTTTTAACTACATGAACTTTATGTTTTATTGATGGTCTCAAAACACCCTTTTAAAAGTGTAACAGACTATCAATCAGATTTGAGCAAGAGTAACCCCAAGCTCATTTTTCTGGGCCTCAGATACCTCCAGGTCCATAAATGCTGAGTCTGAAATGCAGAAAATAATAAACAATCTTATGTGTTTCTTTATGTGGTGCCAGCCTTATGGGGCACGAAATGTGCTTTTTCACATCATATCATTTCGTCTCAAAAGGCCATTCCTGCCCCAAAGAGCCAATGTTTCCTCTTTTGTTTCTTTTATAGAGAGGATTTTCTTTTCTTTTATTTAGAGAAATTTGTAACATTTCTCAACGCACAGTTTCTGAAGAGCTCTCTTGAAACTAAGCTAGACACTGGGGAAAAGTAATTTTTTGTTTGAAAACTGTATTAACTGTACTAACTAAACTGTAGTAATAGGAGGGAAATGGCCCTAAAACTCATCTAATCAGAGCAGCCAAGTTCTTTCATACTGAAGCATATTTGACAAATGCAAAAAGTTTTCAAAACCCTTTTGGGAGGCGGGAAAAGAGTGTAAATATGGTATCTTAGATCGTTGAAAGCATCTCGATGTGTTTTGTGACTTCCAAGGAGGCCGGAGAAATTAAGTGTGAAAAACATTCCTCCTTAGAGAGCTTTTTCAGGAAGAGTCCCTGAGAATTTGTGACGAGTTTCATTGCAGCGTCTGAGGGATAGTTGTCCTTAGAGCCAGTGGAACATTATTCTGGTTCAAATCCTACCTTGTCCCCAATCTGGCCTGAAAAAAATCCGCGTCCATCACAAAAATGGGTGTCCCCCCAAAATGTACGCACCCTTGAACAGCTGATGGCTCCGTTCATGTTTCTTTCTTTTCAGATTTAACCCACTGGAGTTCATAATTACTCAAAGCGGGTACACATTTTTGGGGACACCCGGTATATAAGCTGATCTGTTTGTTATTATCTCACAGTTTCTGAGCCAGAATGTGTCTCAGGTTAGCTGGGTCCTCTGACCCGGGGTCTTCCACAGGCTGCCGTCCAGGCGTCACCTGGGCCGCGGTCTCACCTGAAGGGTCGGCCGGGGAAGGACCCGCCTCGAGCTCGCCTCACGGTTGTGGGTGGGGCTCCGGTCCCCGCGGCTCACAGCAGCTCTGTCAAAGGGCAGGTGTTTCAAAAATAGAAACGGACTCATAAGGCGGAGAACAGACGGACAGCGGTCAGCGGGGAGGAGGGTTGCAGGACTGGGTGAGAAAGGGAACCCGATTAAGGAAAAACAAGAGCTCGTGGGCCCGGACAACCGTGTGGTGATGAGCAGAGGGAAAGGGGCGTGGGGCAGGTGGGGAGGGATAGACGGTGATGGAAGCAGACGTGACCGGGGCGATGAACACACCGCACAATGTACAGACGACGTGTGTAGAATCGAACACCTGAGACCTATGTGATTTTATTAACCAAAGTCACCCCAATAAATTCAATGAAAATGAAAATAAATTTGTCAGTTTAATATCAAGATTATGCTATACACATGGTAGGTAATCTATGCATTACACTTACCCTTTCATTGGGAGGAAGAAGAGGTGGGAGAGGAGGGGAAGGAGGGGGGGGAGGGAGAGACAACCACAGGACAGTGGTGACGACGGCTAATTATGATGGTGCCAACTCAGAGATTATTGTGGCCGGGATAATGATGACATCATGGCGATGACGTCATGGCGATGACGTCATGGAGATGGCGGTGACGTCGTGGAGATGGTGGTGACATCGTGGAGATGGTGGTGACGTCGTGGAGATGGTGATGGCGTCGTGGAGATGGTGGTGACGTCCTGGAGATGGTGATGACGTCGTGGTGATGGTGATGACGTCGTGGAGATGGTGATGACGTCGTGGAGATGGTGGTGACGTCGTGGAGATGGTGGTGACGTCATGGAGATGGTGGTGACGTCGTGGAGATGGTGACGACTTCATGGAGATGGTGGTGGCGTCGTGGAGATGTGATGACATCATGCTGATGATGGCATCGTGGCGATGATGACAACATCCGAGGAGGACACACCGCCATCATTTCTTGGTGGCCTCTCTTTGGGAGGCGCGTTGGGGGTAATGAAAAGCCTGGAAGGAGCCGGAGCAGAGGGCGGCCGCAGAGGGAAGAGCGGCCGCATTGCCTGCCTGCTGCAGGCCGGGGAACCCCCAGGGGAAGGGCTCTGCCTCCCCCACAGCCGGCCACTGAACAGGAACAGCCGGCCTGGGGCCAGCCGAGGCCACCCCAGCGG